GGAGACCTACTGGGAACGTACTGGGGACATACAGGGAACATACTGGGGACATACTGGGACATACTGGGAACATACTGGGGACATACAGGAGACCTACTGGGAACGTACTGGGGACATACAGGGAACATACTGGGGACATACTGGGACATACTGGGAACATACTGGGGACATACAGGAGACCTACTGGGAACGTACTGGGGACATACAGGGAACATACTGGGGACATACTGGGACATACTGGGAACATACTGGGGACATACAGGGAACATACTGGGGACATACTGGGACATACTGGGAACATACTGGGGACATACAGGGAACATACTGGGGACATACTGGGACATACTGGGAACATACTGGGGACATACTAGGAACATACAGGGGACATACTGGGAAGATACAGGGGACATACTGAGAACATACTGGGAACATAAATGGGACATATATGGAACAAACTGGGGACATACAGGGTAAAAAAAACAGTACTTGTTAAACAAACATGATAAGTTTGAAAATGTTTTCTGAACTTTTTGAGGTAAAGTCATCAAACCTCAACAGTTATTGTGTAAAACCTGTTAAAGAAATAAAAGTATGAGTTCAGTCATGTAAAGTCTAACTATCTGTGAGCCATTTAACCTTGATGTTTCTTTAGAGAGTAACGTCTGAATTATGAAGCTCTAAAAATGGTGAGTTTTACTCTTTGATGTTGATGGGGACAGCTTTCACACCAGTTTCTTCAAAGCTTAATAATGTAACAGGAAATGAAATTTCTTACATCGTCATATTGGAAGTTGACACATCCCTGCTGCATGCTGTCCCTCCGTCTGAAGTTCTCTGGAACAGGAAGTGACATCACAGGCTCAGTTAGTGATCTGACAGTGTGTATCTTTTTGACTTGTTGCCTTTTCCGTACCTGTGAGCGCCCGCATCCTCACGCAGCATGCCACATAGTCGTCAAAGTAGATCCGGCCATTCTTGCTGTAGCGTTTTATGATGGCGTTCAGGACCTGGGGACTGACRCGGTACCCTGAGCCAGAAAAAAGACCATCAGTCACTTCAAATCTGATGAGTCACTTTACTGAGATTCAAAATATTATTATAAAAGACCATTAGTGTTTCTTACAGACCTGTCTAAAACTAGCATTATTCATTCTTTTTTCACAATAAACTTCTCAACCTGATAAAAATCTTCAATACACAACTCCTTATAGAACATTAAAAAAAAGATGCTAAACCAATACAGTGCTAAACTGCTGCAGGCTAGTCCTGATGCTACTGATTGCTTTAGTTTGAGCCAATAAGAGTCATACATGTTTACAGTGACGTATCAGTGCTGTAGACACACAAACACATGTTTTGTATGTCTTTGATTGAGTGGGGGTGAGGATGAGGGTGGGATGGTGCGATTGTGTATGTTTGGGTATTTGTCAGGCTGCGGTCTGGGCTGCCCCTACTGCTGGTTTATCTGGGAGCCCGCTGCTGCTCGGCCCCCCGGTGGGGTGTGTGCCGGCCTGGCCTGGTGACTGCCTGTTGGGGCTCGGGGCCTCTAGGCCTGTCAGGCCTTGGCCTGTAAGGGGTGCGCCCTGGGGGCCCGGACCTCTGTGCCCTTTCCTGGATCTGCTTTGGTATGGCGGGTGCCGGTGGGGCCCATGAGTTTGTCGCTGCTGG